TTTTTTTTTTTGTTTTTCTCTAAAGAGCTGCTTAGTAGTAAAGTTTCATATAAAACCAGAAATACAAACGTCACTTTTTACAAGTGAAATGCAGATGATTGCCATGGAATTGCAGATAATATAGACCAAGGACTGAACAAACGGGTCAGGAAGGAGAGAAGATCTGCTAAAAATTTAGCAAATTTACCCTGGATCATAAACAGAGAGAATTTGCTTACTACATCTCTAACAATAAGGCAATTAAGTGAAGTTTCCCAGTCTGCAGGAAGTTTCTGAAGCTATTTATGATCAGCAAATTCTGATCTAGCTTTTTGATCTCCTATATATATAATACTTAAAAAGTGTTCCATTTTGACTTTTGACAATATAAAACTATACAATATTCATGACAACTGCAAATGCCACAAAAAAGTTGAAGTATTTAAAAAAATCAAACTGCCACTCCTTTCAAAACATCTGAATGAAGACACTAACCTGACACTGTAGATAATTCAAAATGTGGCAGTGAACAAGGAAGGCCCTTTGTAATTTATCTGCAGGTTTATACAGCCTACAAAGTACCCTCCTTGGTTAGAAGATGTGGCAGCTCACCTCCTGCAAGCTGTCCAAGATCAGAAGCATGTAACAACTCAGGAAGGTGTGCAATGGGCTGACAAGCTGCCTCACTCTATGGCCTCTCCCTCTATAAAAATACTTGGTCATTTTACAAAGCTGAGCAAGGTGACAGAACCTGTGTGGGTTCATATTCCCTTGTTCTTTCCTCTGCCCCCTGCATTCCAGCATTTTCACCATCAAAAGAGTGACAAAATAAATCTAATGGACAAGCATCAGGGCAGCATTAAACCTGAATATTAGGACGTAATGTTCAATTAACACTGCAGGACTTGAATTTATGGAGGAAAGCTAGAATTACACAATAAGGTTCAGACTTAAGTACTGTGAATACACAGGTTGGGTAGAACTTGAACAGGTGCAATATGAAAAAAAAAACAAACAAAAACATTCTTCTAAAATCCAAGGGATTGTTGTAATTTTATTTTTTTTTTAATTCTCTTTAAAATAGTGGTTTTTATTAATACACATTTAACTTACTTTCAGCTGCAGGTGTCTTAAGGTACTCCCCAACAAGACCGCGCACATATTGACATAACGATGATGCCTCCTGACGCTCCAAATCAGAGGTTACAGACTTCCTGAAGCACCTGTCATTCACTTGCAACCAACTGCAAAGCTGAATTAAGAACAGCACATCACTCCCTGACCACAGCTGGCAGCTGTGCACTGACATCACTCATTCAACAGCAGCACACCAGAGCACTGTCAAACACAAACTCTCACATCAGCAAACCCACAAGATTTGTGGTCATCAGAACTACCTCGAGCCTTAGCAGACTATTCCCTTCTAACCACACATAGGAAAATGTTCTTCCAAAGGGCAGCTCATAACACCCCCAAAAAATCAGTGGTACCAATGTAAGAAAAAGAACAACTCTTAAAATTAAGCAAGACTGGTAGAAATTCCCTTATCTCAAAAGGGTTTCTTCCATTCCAGTGTAATCTAGCGAGACCAGATTTTTTTTTAATTTGTATGCCAAAAACGAATGGAGCAAGATGAAATGTACAGAGCACATGATAAGAAGACACAATGCAAAAAATCACTTTATCATTATATGGCTGCACAAGTAACCAAAAGTTATGGCTACATGATCAGTTGGCTCTCATATATGCTATACAAAAACTTATTTCATCTTTGAATTTTTATTCACAGCATTTTACATCTTGTAAAGTCATAAAATGTGAAAATTTACAATTTATAATCTCACTCTATGTGGTATGTACATTTTTCCCTTTGAGATTATCCTGCCAGTGAGATTATTATTTCTGCCAGTGATGGGTTGGATGAACATAAAACCAGCTTCAGCTCTCACCTCTGTCCATAATAAAGTATCTCTTCTTAGGGACTCCTCTGGTCTGAGGGACAGAAGAAAGCTTGACACTTCTGGGAAGGACACTTTCTCCTGAAGAAATTAATCAAGATACAGTAGCTGCCAACATAATATACAACAAATAATAACCTATATGACAACTCAAGAAGTTTGACTTTATCTGGCAGGTTTTAGTAAAAGAAATTTACTTTTTCTCTTTTGTGATTCAGACTAATTTCTGCCTCTTTAGGACCAACTTATCTGTACCAAGGAACAAAACTTAATTTTCCCAAGTATTAAGGTCTATCTGAAAATAAATTAATGACTGCAAAAATAGTGCCATTCACTGATGACACCTTTTAAATTAATGTAGGTAAATGATTAGGAGTCATTTAGTACTGAATTCTAGTACTAAAGAGAAATTCAGACAGATTTATACCCAT